TCTTTCTTCCATTCTTTCACCATCGTCGTTTCTGTTTCTGTTTCTGTCGTGCAGAGAATTACGATTATCTGCGCGATTTATTGCGTCCGTTGACTCCTTTGGAATGCAGCAGCACTATAAGCGGTTGGACCTATCAAGGACAATTACTTTGGGAATACATGGAAATAACTACAAACGTCGAATCTTTGTTACGCAGTGCCGATCCACGTGGAATAAGTTCCAAACTGGAATCATTGAAACAGCGATTGTCCAGTCTTCCCTCCAAAATCAACCAATTTCCATGTCCAACTGCGAAGCATAGGTAAACCAACCAACTATCGCTTCACTTTATCGCTTCCTTCATTGTTGTACGCGACACGTGTATATTTATATACATATTGCACGCAGAATCGTGCACAACTTACACCTAAATAAAAACTTATTCGTTTCTTTTCGCGCACAGGCTTTGTCAAGCTGAAATTGCAAAGAGAACGTTGCATCTAGCTAGAAGTTTGTTGCAATCGAACGAGAACAAGTCCGCGTCGATGTACCAACTGGTGTCTCAATTACCATTGCCGGAAGATTATACGCAACAAGAGCTTCGTTTCGTCGTTAACATGCACGTAAATGAAATTATATATTAGACGACGTAATATCGACACGTAATTTCCCACGAGGATCGACAGGCAATTACATTTATACAGAAACAACAGCAGCTTTTCTCATCTTTTTATTTTATCGGTGATATAAATAAACGTATCAGTAGTGGTATCATATCGTGGCGTGATAATTTTATCTTTCATCGTTTCGCAATTGTAACTTTTGTCGACGGTTATTTACGATATTCGCGGCAACAGCGAAACCAACGGGTGATCGAGTATCGCCTAGCCGGACTAATTACAACAGCGAAGATAGTTAAGATTTATAATCTCGATAATTAACAACGAAGGATATACACAAGTATTGCACGTATATGCCGATTCGTTGGTACTCAAGTTCTACCCTGTATCCATAGAAATTAAGACAGTCTACGTTATCTGCGTTAAACCAATCGTAAGTATAAATAAAGAGCAGAGGACTAGATAGACGACGTAGTCGTTATTTCAGTTTTAGATATTTTAGATATTGGCGATGATGCTTCTCTCTCTTTACAGAGAACGACCATCGACTCGAAAATTTTAGAAAGAGAAAACCAAAAAACGTGCCGTTACAATTTGAAAAATTTCTCGAGTCACGTCGCGTAATGTTAAATTTAAAAAAAAAATGTCATCATCGGTGTGTGTTGAAATATATACCATTATCTGTATAAACTGTACCTTGTAATTATTTATTTTATCATTAAATTAAATTAAATCAAAAGCATCGACGATACGACACACCGAGGTGGCCGAGTCGAAGGTGAAGTCGAGATGGGAAGAGGCGAAAGAAGATGGGAAAATGGTTGCAGCTTTCGAAATTCTTTCGGAGGATCTAGGGAGTCGACTAGTCGTTGCGTTTGAAAATATAGACGGGCGTTAAATCAATGACGCCGAGTTTGCGCGTCCGGCCGTTTCGACCATCTCTGTTACACCTCTGTGGCGTAAGTGGTATTGCAAATACCATCTCGCTAGCTCTTCTCGCTCTTAACTTAACTTTCTCGTTTTCTGTTTTCCCTCTCTCGGCAAGGGACTCGCTTGGCTCTTATTTACAGAGGCTTGGTCGGTTCGATTCCATTCCCGTTCATTTCCACGTCTCTTGGACACCTTTGCACACCTTCAACTCCCTCGATATCTTCCTATCCCTTTTTTTTTTT